TCCGGTTCAATACCACGCCTAACCTATCGGGGCCTTATGTGGTTCGCCACTCCAATTTCCGGGGATTAGGTTGCCGATTTCAACCACTGAACAGCAGGTCCTCGTGACTATGGGGTTTACTTCGTCTGCTGTTCATCACACCTAGGTGTGTAATAAAAAAATATATACGGAACGTGATTGGAACAAAACAGAGAATTCGCTAGTCAACATGTCCGGTTTCGAAAATTTGCAGCAAGTCAAAGAAAGTAGCAAAGAAAACCTGGTGCGACAAGTCTGAAACTGTTAGCTTTTCTTCCTATGGTATTGACTGACTCACTGTTTCATGTCAACCCATATTTCCCCTTTTTTGAGGCACAAAAAATACTAATCGTTAAATCGCTGCTTTCTGCTTGCAAACAGATATCAGCTCCGATTATGTTGCGTTTATTCCTTCCACTGTTCATAATGTTGATGAGTTTAATTTTAATTGTTGGAGGCATGGATTAAACCAACTTTAACTTTTTGGCCTGACAGACCTCGTTGTAACAACCACCAGTGGAGATGCTGTGTATAGGACACAGTCGTAAATGACCACCGTACTGCCTTCTCTCAAACGGAAGAGACCACTAGCTACACAGATGAACGTTAGAAGCTGTCTCTTTACTGATGATCATTTTTATCCCAATGTAACCGTGAACGTAGAAATGTAAGCATAGTTGCTTGCACAAGTCATTGCAATACAATACGAAACAGCGGAGAGCATGTTCCTGACTATCCTATGTCGGTGCAATATGAAATTCTTTGTGAGTTATTCTATCACTTACTCATTTTAAAAGTGAAATCGACGGGCTGAGTTTTGTGAAGGTTTTGCACTGCACACGCCGTTTAATAGTATCTTTGGACTACGGGTTTATCTCTCGTAATTTGAAACCTGTTCTTTGTCATAAACAGGGTGCATTTCAATTTCACACAGGAGAACGAAGATTGTTGCTTAGTTAAAGTAGACAACAGATCTACACGAGACACGTCCAAACACTAGGTTACAACAGAGACGCTATGAGGGTGAGTCTGGGGACAGTCAATCAATTAACAGCCCACTTGAGATCTAACAGGCGTGGTTCGAATATGGGCGGGTTTTGGAAAGAAGCGCCAGAATTAATTGGAGTCACATTCTGATTGTAGTTGCTGACACATTCACTCAGGTGCTTAAGTGTAGATATGACAATACACGCATAAGAAAATCTGTTCGAGCAGTGTAAACATTTAACCGAATTTCAAATCACAATGAGTAATTATTGCAAACTGTCAGTTTCGTGCACTGATGCCTGCAAATCATTTGACCACTTGTATTTTTTACTACACATCTTGACGTGATGAACAGCAGATGAGGAAAGCCCCATAGTTACGAGGACCTGCTGTTCAATGATGGAAACCGACAACCTAAGTTCCGGGGGACTTGGAGTGGCGAACCATATAAGGTCCCGCTGGGTTAGGCGTGGTATTGAACCGGACAATAACAACGCTACGTGGTCGACTGATCCAGGTCAATATATAGTCCTGAAATGGATACAAGCCTGAACGTATGCATATGCACAGCCGATGGAGTGGTGAGCTACAGCACTCCAGGAAAATTTGCTCCGAATTTGTGGTTATGAACACTTCCACTTTACAATAGTACTTCTTCAAGAAACAGTTGGTGGATTTATTTTTACAGGAAAAGTCATTCTCTTTCAGATGAAACTCAACTTTTCTTAAAATTTGTGGTTAAATCAAGAAAAGAATAAAAAGGAAATGTCACAAGGCACTAATACTTAAGTGATTACCGAACCAATCATCCGTGAGGGGGAAAGTGCCGTGGTTCACAGGCACATGATAATCTTCGAGTAACTCACCCAAGTGGCTGGACAATCGGCTTCATATCGCTTTCGATACGTGTTACACTTTTTCTGAATAAGTGCACTTTCAGGTATTTCACCATTGTTATCCGCCGCCAACGCCTTTACACAATCCCAATATAAATCTCGTGAAGACCAACATTGTTCCCGATCGGCCTTGCGCAAAACGTCAGGCATGAGGACAGAACTGGGTTGGTTTAAAGAGATCAGTACTTTCACGTACGTTAATCAATCTAAAATTAGACGCATTGGGTTTTGTTACTACATCAGGTTGATCGAAAAGGCAAAACTGCACACGGAAACCATAGTGCAGGGAGTTGTGTTAGATCAACCGATTTCACTCTGTTCTGAGTCCAGACAATGCACCAAACAAAACACGGTATCACAATCTGTGCAACGAAGAAATCGGTTTATGATTTGCAGCGGGCGGAATACTGTCACGTTACCCAGAATGATGCAGAGGGATAATTTTGATAAACATCGTCTCCATACTCTTCTTTTCTATTAAACTGTGATGAGTCTGACTCTGGAAACAGCAGTGCCCTGATCTGGAGTATAATAACGATAAAGTACTGCAAAGTAAAGACCCAGGCAAGATGCAAGGTTTTCTGGACGGTTTGAGTCCTAGGGCCTCTTTTCGGCATGCGTGTTGCACTTTTAAAGTGCAAAAATATTGTTACAGTACTGAGTTGGTTTAGCTTTCAACCTCACTCAAACTGGGGAATTAACAGAGGAAGTGAAGAAACCGCTATTTGAGCAGTTATATCTCATCTGGCGGATATATCACCGCACGCACACAAAAGGCTCGATTGGCACTTAGCAAATTGAGACATCTGTGGTGCCGTCGCGACATCCGGCTGTCCGTGAAGGGTCGAGTGTATGTAGTAGTTCAACCAGTCTTACTTTACGGCGCAGACACTTGATCATTACGAAAACAAGATACAGATAGACTGTCAGTGTTCGAACATCACTGTCTACGCCACATTGCACGAATCTGATGGAGAAACCGGACAAGCAATTCCGAGGTTAGCCGCACAGTTTAAGACAACCGCGGTTACCCACTGGAGCAAGTGGTCAACCTCCGTGGACTACATTGGTTGGGACATATGTTGTGTAGTTGGAAAAAGGCCAATAGTGCTCAAACCTGGCATGAGTGTTCGAAACTCTTGGCCAGAAAACATGAGCACATAGACCGCGTGAGGAGGAAGACATCGGAATCATCGTGGGAGGCGGTTTGAGGCAGTGAGTCACATGGCACAGTGTGGTAAACGGTGGCGCTTGTGCATACAATCAATGTCTTTGCAACCTTGGTCTTTGTGAATGCTTTATTTTCATCCTGAAACTGATTTGTACATTCAAATCTTCCCACTACCGCTTCATTCAAATAGACAGTAACCAGAACCGGTGTAAGACAGTGTATGGTTGACGGCTGTGAAAACTAAAACCACTTGGAGGAATTTCAACGAGAACAATCTAGTGACGTCTATATAGTAGTTGAAAATGAGTCCAATAAGTTAGCATCACTTTTCTATGCCATGGACAATGAGTCATAAGCCAATGGGCAAACTGTCTGACCTGCCGGTAACAGAAGAATCAATAAAACACGCACAAAACTGTAATCATTCAACTATCTGGAAGAAAAAACGAAATCGTGAAAACCACAGATATATTCTGATTTACAGCGAAGGAAATAGATATCCATGGAGCGGGGAGAAAGATTTGGCACAAGAATGCGAGGCCACTGGATAGTAGTTATATCCTGGAAAAGAAAAACATGTGAAACAATAAGAAAATATATGTTAAAGTGTTATATTTTAAGATTTGAGTATTAATGGCAAAGACCAACGCGACTCACTTTTTGACAATCTGGACGACATCCTCGTCAACAAGTACGTGATCTTTTCCAACTCTTTGAGGCTGATGCTTCACTGATGCTCCCCAGACATATGCACTATAAAAGTGAAAGAGTATTGAGACAGTGTAATGTGAGGAAATTACTAGATAAATAATTTTCAAAATCTATTTGTGTAAAACTCAGTTTTTATTTATTCAATCATAAGCTTGACATTGTGGTATCCTAGGTGTGAGTGCAGTCTGTCAGTTCACATGTTTTCCATCATTTCTCTTTTTTATCAATACCAGTGAAAATCTTAGGCGTGCGTTTGGTAGAATGCTAGAGTTTCGGACGGAGTTGAATGGTTGGTAGGCTCCGGTACCAAATTTGGAAAGATGAGTGAAACGTTTTTTTCAGTATCATGCATACTCAAGGAATTGGCATTACATTATCGATAAAACGAGCAAATCATGTTTTCTTATTCCTATTATTGTCATTATTTTTATCATTATTATTGAGTGGAATTTTCTCACTGACGTAAGTGTTGTAAAAGAAATCAAACAAACAAATCAAACCTCAGAATTGCTTCAATATTACTATGCACAATCAATAATTTTGTCGATAACTTGAAAAGTACTTTCCATGCGCTCTGTCTCCCCATTACATGACAGTCGGGATACATACACTAAAGCGGTAGACCACCTACGCAAAGATAAGATAGTAGTGAAACTGGAAAAGTTTTCAAGTTCAAAAAAAAATAAAGTGGACTGTATTTTGTGCTGCACAACCTAATGCTTCTAAAATCAAGTTAAAAATAGATCGACCGTACAAAAGGATCAAGGTAAAAGAGCTTTTGAGTTCAACCCAGAAGTTTCAGTTTGAAAATCCAAAAGTAATTGAATCTGACGTATCCACAGGGGTCCAATCTAGTATTTATTTATTTAGGCCCAGTTTTTCTTGAAGTGAGATTACGTCTGCAGGAAAACGGTCCCCCTTATCTGTGCAGATTTTGAACACACACACATACATACAGTCGTGCACTTACTTAGACAACACACGTCAACAACTATCTGATCCCTCTAACAATAATCTTAATCGATTACGCAGGTACGTGAAGCTGCCGTGACGAAATCAAGGGCCGACTACGGAAAGCTGACAGTTAAACACCAGATATCTGCCACCGAACTAAGGCAGCGCAGTGGGATATGTTTAGCTGAATAGACTAATCCTACTAATGACATCTTCTCTCTGATATTGACTTTTGCAAATACCCGAATATTACCAGATCCACTGAAAGCGTGAAGCAACCTGGAGAATACACTTGGCATTATATTCGCAACCAGGCTGACCGCTGAGTTTCAACACCTAAAGGATATTATGAGGTACGCAGTGTCCAATCGAAAATTCAAATATTTAATCTGAAAGGAAAAAATTACGCCCCCACCCCTTGAGTTTTCATAATGAATCAGCTAATCCTTCGTTGCTGATGACCAGAACGAAATATTTTATTGGAGGGGCTAATGAACATGGAAGATAAAACACAGAAAGTCCGTCAATGGGACGCAATTTGGGGCCAAACGAAATGGAGTTTCATTCGATGCACTGATGACAAGTACCGATAAATTCATGCGTTCAATTTCCTTTCCGAATTTCGTGGGAACGCGAACGAACTTCGTCGCAGGGTACGCTTAATTCAGCCTTTCCGATTTGTCTCATCGGTTGTATGAAACCATTCACCATATGAAAATTTAATCTGAACACTAGGAAACAAACCTCAAGACACCAGTAACACAAGACTAGGAAAAATTTAATGTGAAAGTCAAGTAGCATCAATCCCGATGAAATCGGACACATAAAAGGAGTGGGAATCAATATAATTAAGCTATTCCACATTGGTCACAAAATCCAACCGTTCACAAATATTTGGATTTTGAAACCCGAGTACTATGGCCTCAATCTTCTGGTGGATCATCAACCGGAATGCTTGTTTTGGGTTGACATGTCTTTTGGAAGTTTGGTCATTGACCACAGTGGAGCTAAAGAGACGTTTCGAGTTGTTTGGACTGTGATCGTTAAGCTGTCATCGGGGTGTGTTAGGTTCTAGGGTCCGAAATTCGAACTTACTCAACTGGCAGTATTGTCGTCATCTTTTTTATTTTTTTTTACCTCCTTTTAGAGAAAATGAAATGATACCCACACTCTTCAGGAAAAGAGAAGAGGCAAATCAAAGAGTTGTTCATACTAGTGGGTCGCGTGTGGTTTGCCATCACACGTTCCTGGGCCTAGGTTGCTGGTTCCCATGAGCGGCAAACAATGGATCGTCATGACTATGGGATTAATCCCTTTTGTTGTTCATCACACAATAGTGTGCCATAAAAATTGCTCGGGAGTTATGATAATAAGTACATTTCAGAAGGTAAATACGTGAAGAGGCGACTTGACAAAGCTTTAAACCACATTCTAAGTTTCGCGTTATGATTCCCAGTGAAGGACAATACAAAGAATGTTTTTTTCTTAGGTACATCGACTTCTAGTTCTGGTAGCTGCCACCCTGCTACACATTGCAATGAATTTTCGTGCGTCTGTTGTCCAGGGAACAGGGACAGTTATAAGCAACGTGTCCAGCGATAAGTCTTGGACTTGAGAAAAATCTAAATAATACCAATTCGGGCGACGCTTAAATCATCAACCAGCCAAACAGTATACACCCACTCTCGAGATGATAATTTTAATGGAGTTAAAACATGCTGATGTACGCCACGGACATGCCGTTTAATAATATTCCACGAAAATTTTATATTAGTAGGCAGCATCACCGCCTCTGAATCGACTAGCACACTTGTCCCCTGGGCCCCATGTAATCTTAGGACCAAGGTGACCAGCTTTAGTAGTTAAAAAACAGGTAATTGTTCATTTATTTACCACAGTAATATAATTTACACATTCCTGAAAAAATACGGACTACTCTGTTAAACCATAATCAAGTAACCATTCCTCCTCAAGAAAAACATGTAAACCACTCACTATTTAAATTCTTTGATGATCGAACGATGCAGTTTGTTGCAGAAGTCTTCAACGCTATGCGACGCGGAACGAAGCACGACGGGGGCAGTGTAATCCGGTAGCTGACCTTGACCTTTTGGTTTTGTGTAGATACGGATCAAATGCAAATATTCCCAGATCATCTCGAGTAGGTCGTCGAAATTCCACTTATGATGGGCTGAGATTGGGACACAATGAGGTATTCGACAAATGATATCCAATTCCTACACAAGCATAAACAAGGTGAGAGTTAGGCGAACACCGAAACGACAGAAAATACCTACTTCAATGGAAATTTGGTCGATTTTGTTCAGGACATAAATACAAGGAATATACACACGATTGCCCTCAATAACATCAATCAAGTCCTCAGCGGTAGCGTCACAGCGTAACAAAACATCAGCATTATGCATCTTGTACTCAGCCAAGATTGTTTTCACCGTTTCTTTGTCCAACTCTGACTGAGGAACCTATATGAAAAATAACAACAATAATATGAAACGTAGGTTAGACGGAAGCAGTAACATACCAGAGCCTGGTAGTTCAAACCACCTTTGTCCTTTCGCTTAACAGTTATATTAGGAGGGCTTTTATTTAATCGAATCCCAAAACCTTCCAGTTCGTGTTCCAGGAGACGTTTGTGATGCAACGGTTTTAATACATCCAAAATCATCAAGATCAGAGAACACGTGCGAGCAACTAGGAAAAAGAAAACATTGTGGGGAACAGCACGACTGTACCGGCAATCACTTGTTTCCCTCGCCCTTTTCCATCTTTCGCTCCCTCTATGATACCGGGGAGATCGAGCAGTTGAATTTTCGCTCCCTTATATCGAATTACACCGGGGACTGTGGTCAACGTAGTAAACTCATAAGCAGCCACCTCGGAATAAACTCCAGCCAAATTACACAACAACGTTGATTTCCCCACGGAAGGGAACCCCACAAATCCTATTCTCGCGTCACCAGTTTTGGCCACATCAAATCCTTCACCAGCTCCACCGCCACCTCCTTTTGGTTCGATCAGTTCACGACGCAATTTGGCTAGTCGAGCCTTGAGCAATCCCAAGTGTCCCATTGTATTTTTGTTGCGCTGAGTTTTGGCCATCTGCGTTATTGAAGAGAAAACATAAAATAATAGTAATGGCAATAAGAATAAGTAGAAATCACATAATTAAGATGTCTTGGGATTTCCGTAATGTTGGCTCATCATCTGTTTTAGATAATGAATAACCCCAAGTTAAAATCTCCACTGGTAAAGAAGCAAAAGCAACTGCCGGAATGTTAGGTAAAATAACAAAGATTCTCCAAATGAACCATTATCTAAGCTCTAGGTTTCACTCGGAAAACCTAATCCACACTTCAGTATTCCGGATCAGATTGATGACTACCCGAAAACAGTAAACTTTCGGATAAATAATGAGCCGATAAGATCGCTGGTTTCTGAACTCTGCACTACGATTACTTACTGTGTGGCTGAAAGCCTCTGATAAGGTGTGAGGACCTTCAAATACATTTCTAACTGCACCAAAAATGGTGGGGAACTCGAAAAGCCCACGATGGGGAAAGTTAACCATTGACAGTCCTATCACTTGATTATACATTACTATAAATAGGATAAAGGTAGGTATAATTACCATAATTGATTGGGCACAGGAACGGAAATGAAAACTTAACTCATGAGATTTTAGTACCCTGTCAACAGAGAAAACAGCTGATTTTATAAAACCAGTTTATTGTAGTGTTGTGGGATTGTGCTGTCACAAGAACGCAATGAACGGTAACAACCCAGGGGTTTGAACGAATAACCTAGTACAAGGTACGAGAACAACTGAGCTTAGCCAACGGAGAAAGACCCCCAGAAGAGGCTGTGCAGTTGACTCCATCCCAAAGCCGGTTCGGACACCGGACTAATGAATGTCGCGAAGCAATGAGCCGCGAGTTCCTAATTACAGTACACGAAAACCCATGCAGAATAAAATTCGTTTTAATCCATGGAAGCTCAAGCTAAGGTATTCAACCACTAAGTCTTTAATTCTGATAAGAACCTAAGAGCAAATTAGCTGGTAGGGCGATGTGAAAATCCTTCTATTTGGTTCAATTTACCAACTGATACCCCAATTCGGATCAAAACCCTCAATCTGAGCTTTGCTTGACCTCTATCTTTTGACCTTTTATTTATGAGTAACTACTTTGGTTTGATAAAGCCATTCTATGTAGCTCGTTGGGTCGGAGGTGCAAAATACACCGGAGCAAGTCAAGGTGCAGTCTATTCGTGATTGTCCAAAAGCTAATCTATGCTGATACATTGGCCGTAGTTTACAGTTTAAATTGATTGAATCACAATAAATGCCATCGTTTCGAAGTATCCTGTTTGAAGTTTGGTTGTCACCGCGGCAAGGGAATTCGTGTAGTGCTGCTAAAAACATACATATACCTGTTTCTATGCGTTCTCCTTTTCCTGAATACACATCTTTGCGTGATGAACAACATAAGGGGAAACCCCATAGTCACTAGGACATACCGTTCACTCGTGGAAACCGGCAACATAATATCCGGGACTTGGAGCAGCGAACTACATAGGAAATCACTAACGCAAGCGTGATATAGAGTCACTGACAGCTAAACTGCCTGTCNGTTTGATATATATAGGTGATAGGTGGCTCTGTCGTCGCCCGGCTCTCTAACACGCCTGATCTATTGAAGCCTTATGTGGTCCGCCACTCCAACTTTCAGGATCATGGTTGCCGGTTTCCTCATAACATAAACATGACAATACAAAATCATAAACGCTCACGTACTCTCGCTAGCTCTACGCACTCATCAACCTCACCAACATTCGTGGACTGAACCGCAATATTGATTCTGTACACCAATTTCTCCATTATTCTTCCCCGCTCGCCCTTTTTTTGACTGAAACACAAATCTCCCTCTCG